AAGAAGAAGAAGAAGAAGAAGAAGAAGAAGAAGAAGAAGAAGAAGAAGAAGAAGAAGAAGAAGAAGAAGAAGAAGAAGAAGAAGAAGAAGAAGAAGAAGAAGAAGAAGAAGAAGAAGAAGAAGAAGAAGAAGAAGAAGAAGAAGAAGAAGAAGAAGAAGAAGAAGAAGAAGAAGAAGAAAGACCCAGAGGTGGGCGTGTTGCCACATAAAGGGTAATTTGTGAACATTTGTAAAAATGTGACATAATTTATGAAAAAAAGTACCCTTTGGTGTAAAATCTGCTTTCATTATAAAGTTGTCTAAACACTCTTGTCTAAATGTATGCCAGTGTAGTTTATTGTATTCACGTCTAGATAGTTTTGTGACATATGAAACCAGAGCATAAACATCATAAATTATTTCCCATAAATTATAAAAACAGTTGTATTTACGCATTATATTGAAATGTCTTTTGAAGAGTCATCTGTCAGGATATCGCTCTGACTGTCCTGCAACTCGCTGCTCTGCATATCAATGTTCACTTTCCCTTTCTTGCCCCTCAGACTCAATGTGTTTCTCCTGCAGGAGGTTCTCAGGCAGGGAGAGGCCAGGATGGGGTTGCAGACCAGGGAGAGAGTTTCAAGTTCAAGTTCAAGATTACATGCTCCTAACCAAGAGGAAGAGCTGAGAAAAAAGTACGGTAACAAAGCCGAGAGGCGTCATCTGTATGCTGCTGTAACCTTAACAGAACATTGATTCCAAATGAGAGAAGAAGTGAACGAGAAAAATCCACCCCTTTCTTTTCACTGCCACTCTCCTCCTCTCTCCCACCCACTATGATATTCTGTCTGAAGCCAACCCCCTTCTCTCTCTCTCTCGATCTGTCCTGTTTCCTTCACTCTCTCCTACACATGCACATACTATTAAACACCACTTTTCTTCATCCCTCATCAGGTTGTCTTTTAGCGCACCGCTTTAAGAGCCTCTAGTATTTCGTTTTCTCCCGACGGGTGGAGAAACCGGCTCAATGCGGCTCTCTCTCTCTCTCAGCTGTGTATCACACACTGGGATTGCCTGTTTCTCATTGAGAGGCCCTTTTTTTACTTGTGACACACGAGTCTCGCTCTCTTTACGGTGCCGGTTTCCCTCCCCCTCCCCTTCTTTTCTACACTTATCTGTAAAGAAAGGAAGGAAGCGGAAGAGAGAGGTGTCTGTGAGGAGGAATGATGAAAAGGCACAGAGAGAGAGAGAGAGAGAGAGAGAAGGAAGGAGGGGGTAAAAGAAGAGAGCAGGACTGAGGAGAGTGAACTGGCAGAAACGTGAAATACGAGAGGGAGAAGAGTAAAGTAGGAGAGGAACCCGTGAAAGGAGAAACGAGGGATGGCTGACCTGGAAGT